CAATTTTATCCAAGCACATTACCTGGAATAAAATCTTAAGCTTTATCGTAAACGGAGATAAAAATCCTAACGGATCAAAGATATTTGATGACCACTTTAACAATGATCTCTTCGTAACCGGAAGTGATTTCGCGTACTCGACCAGTTCCTCCAAATGGAACAAAAACGTATCTTCAGCAGTGTCCCATGCCATACCCAGGACCTTCACTTGTGTGGGCTCAGTTACAGTGGATTCCTTTGCAATTGTCGACTTTGTATAATGACAAGTCCTCTTGAACAACGTCGGACTTACTATTGGTTGAACTATTCATTGTTTCGCTGCCTTCCAATGCATCGATAGCCTTAACTACATTATCAGAATTCGAACTCCATTTTCGTAAATTGAATCCTCCTGTACTCATCAACTGCTTCGAACCCTTGTAGATTTCTAGTGCCCTTTCATCATTTTCAGCTCCCGATACAAAATCATCGACATATAGCGATTTCTTTAGATGTTCAACAATTTCAGGTTTCTGCTTCTCGTGTGTTTCTAGATGATGCTGAATGGTGGCTCCCAAGATTGCCGGAGAGGGTCGTAAGCCAAAAACCAACCGACAAAATCTAAGCTTCAGAATTTCAGAGTGTGGATCTTTAGCATCCTTTAACCATAAAAATCTTAGCATATTCCTATCTTCCTCGTTGATTCCGATCATTAAGAACGCTTTCTCAATGTCCGCCACCAATTCAACCGGGTTTTGCCTAAACTTTACAAGCAAGTCAAAAATTTGTGGAATGAGGTTGGGACCAGTAAGCAAACAGTCATTAAGTGAGTAGTTACGCGTCTCCGTTTTCCCTGATCCGTCGTACACGACACGTAATTTGGTGGTGGCCTTATCCTTTCGCATGACACCGTGATGTGGAAGATAGTGAATGTTTTTCTGATCCTTATGGTAGTGAGTAGTTACGCGTCTCCGTTTTCCCTGATCCGTCGTACACGACACGTAATTTGGTGGCGGCCTTATCCTTTCGAATGACACCGTGATGTGGAAGATAGTGAATGTTTTTCTGATCCTTCTTCTACTATTCCAGTAGCCAATTGCTCTTCAATATTTCGGTTGTACTCATCGAGATACTTTGGATCCTTTAGCAATTTTTGATGCTGCGATTTTAACCGATATGATTACGACACAGTTCATAATCGTCCTCGATGTTGTGATCATTGCCCTTCCATGGCAAGCCAACTGCATATCGTGCTCCTGTGAATCGAATATTTTGAACAAAATCTTGTTGCTTCGGTGGGATCTCGTGGTCGATGGAATCGCTGCTAACACTCTCCACCTCCCAAAAACGCTTCAACGAAGTAGTTAGCTCATCCTAATCACTTGCTGTACTAGAGTTGTCAAATTGTTCTCCTGTTAAGATGAGATTACTGAATGTGTTGCTGTTCGACTGAAGTTGCTTCGATGGTCCAGATAAAAGCCAACCCAATTTGCTGCTCACTGCGGTTGGGCCATTTCTTCCATGAATAACATGACCAGTGACTATATCCCAATAATGATCTGCACCCACGAGAATATCGATACTGTCGTTGTCGTTACTGCTATCACAGGAATTGAAATCTGCAAGTTCTAAACTGTCGAGGTAGGAATATTCGCTTATGTTTACCTTAGCGGGAAGGGGTGCACAAATCGTTGGAAAACCAATTGCAGTAATTTCTATACTTTCGCCATTGTTCTTGTTCGCAATGTTTACCTTGAACACTTCACAGTTTTCTCGTTTAGACTTGCTTTCGCCGAAGGTGTTTAGTTGAAGGGTTTCTTTTCCAATCGGGTTTAACCTTAATCGATTTTGAAGCGACTTCCGGATGTAAGACCTTTGACTTCCGGTATCAAACAATATACGGGCAGGAACTAATCTTGACCCATTCGATACAGTAGCTCTGGCGGTCTGCAACAAAACACTTCCTTTAGTTGTCTGGGTAACAGCTGCGGCAGTGGGAGGGTCTGAACCTTCGGGACCTTTATTAGAAATAGATTGGTGGTGTCGTCCAGAGCAATGTCGACACTTCTTTGTGGTATCACACGTATTTGCGCGGTGCCCTATCTTTAGACAAACAAAGCAACGATTCGAATCCCGCAAAAGTTTCAATCGACTATCTCTGTCTGTTACCTTTTCGCAGGATGCAGAATAATGTAATTCATGGCAAAATGCACATCTAACCTTAAAACTACTTTCACCGTCCTTGCCACTTTTTGTCACGACAAATGAACCCACAGTTGGAAGTGAGCCGTGTTTTTTGTTGGGGGGTTTCTCACTTGCATTCGAGCGAGCCATCTCGCTCATCTCTCTTGCCTCGACCTCTGACTTTATAGTTTTGAGCAAATCATCGATTTTCCAAACATCTGTTGCTTTACGTGCTACAAGCAACCTAATTTCGTTTGGCAATTTGGACATAACTACCGGGATCAATAAGCTACCATATTGGTCAGCGGCAATTCCCAGTGATGCAAGTCCACGAACATGCACACTTATTTTGTCAAAAGTAAATCTTAACTGTCCGGTTCGGCCTTCAGAACATGCTGGGATTTGCAAGATTTGGTCCATGTGTGCAGCTATAATTTGCTGTGTTTTGCCAAATCTTTCTTGTAAGATTTCGATTGCTGCATCATAATTGGCAGATGTAAGTGTAAGTCCCTTTATTGAACGTGCAGCATTCCCCTCAAGCAAGGGAAATAAATAATTGAACTTGTTTACTTTAGACACACTAGCATTGCTATGTATTGCAGTGTTATATAAGTCCCAAAAAGAACCCCACTCAGTAACTTTCCCACTAAATTTTGGAAGTTCGAGCTTTGGCAGTCTCGGCAATGTCAACGATGTTGGAACACTGACAGGACTAACTGGGGCGCTGACATTCGGCGAACTCGTGTTCGTATTAATATTTCTCGTTGCAATATTACTCGTATTTGTGTCAACATTACTCGCACTGTTTACACTATTATCTGTCACGCTATTTTCACTGTTGGTCGCTAAATTACCTGTATTTTCGTTCATATTCGAGCTGCTTTCGATTTGAGTTGTGGCACTAATAGTCGGTGATGTGACAACGCTAACGTTTCCCACATTTGGGATCTTCTTTGCTGCTTCGATTTTGCTTTTCGTGTTGAGAATTCGGTCAATGACGACCGCCGCTTCTTCGATTTCGTGTTCTATCTCGCTTACTTCGCATATACCAAGAATTTCGTCGTTTAATTCTTTTAAAATCGTCATTTTATCTTCGAGTTGTTTTGAAATAACTTCGCATCGTTGAATATCTACATCGGTTGACTCAAGAATCTCGAGTGATTCTTTTATAAGCTTGGTTGTCACGCCGCGATAACCGCCTCTTTTGGCGCGAAGTCGCTCTAAATTATTCCTTCGGCATTTGGCTGAATTTTTCGCTCAAAACAGTTCAAATAAATAACTTATATGTTTCACGTTGGGCGCCATGTGTTAATCGTTCTTTACTCGTACTACTTCTCTCGTATTTCTCATCGAAACGGTAAAAACAATCGCATATAAAACCATACAAAACAACATATATATTTTTACCCTACATTTTGTACACTATCAAGACAACAACAACGTGCTCTGTCCATTTTACTTCCGCTATGACGTATGTTCCGCTATGACGTATCTTACAGCATTAAATAAAATTTTAAACTTTTTTTGCGCCGCTTATTTTAGCCAATCAGCGCCGTGACACTGCCCCTTTAAGATATATTTATGAAAATATCATTTTTGTACAGTAAAATAGTTTTTCTAAAAAACTGTGTTCAGAAATTTTTGTTTATCTCGTCATTCCGCTGATATGGCGATTTCTTTGACGACTGCAATATATTTCTGAATCGTTTGTGTGAATTACTCCTTATTATTAAAATATCCAAAATTAGAAGAAAGCCAAACACAATTTTGAAACTGACGTCTTTAGCTATGTCCTGTGAAATTTGAGAATTGTTATTGAATTTGTTAAAACCCGCAGGAGAACAACTCGTTAATTTGAAAATCGGTAATTGCCGTGAAATTCTTAGGCCCGTTTCATACGTCGCACTATCGTCGAATTTAATTCAGACGAATTTAATTGAACCAATTAAATGCGACGTTAGTGCGTCGTATGAAACGAATTAAATCCGTCTGATGAATTAAATTCGTCCAAGACGTTGTATCCGTCATGGTCAGACGGATACAACGTCTGTAGCGCGTCTTCGTTTCATACGACGTGTTATCGTCGTGTCGAATTAAATGCCATCGCCAGAAATTTGAGACGTTGCAACTGAGCATGCTCGTAGCTCAGTAAATAAATATGGCTGGCATGCTACTCATTTTATATAGGGAAAGCGAATTTTTCGAAACTTGAGCGTCTTAAATTACAAACAAACGGTTTGCCAACGTATGAGCGGTACAAAAAAATCATCGGTAATCAAACGTAGTAAAAAGCAAAGCCATTACATACCGTTAAGTGCGTACATTTTTATTCGGATTCTGTGTCGACTTGAATGCTAATATTTATATAGTTCTAGTCCCAAATCGCCCCAAGATGAACCCTTTATTCCGAATTGTCATCGTCGCCTTTCTTCATGTCATATTTGCCAACCTCCTGTCGTAAACAACAAATGATGAAGTATTTCTCGTTAAATTTACAAGGTGATATAAATTTTCTAACACCGTGCATTTTAGCAGTAAAAAACATGAAAATCCATGGTTTGTAATAAACAAAATACGTACCAAACGCCCGTAAATATTGTTAAACTGACATTGATTTTTTGCAAAAGATCGGCCATGTCTAGTATCAACAAGAAGCTTAGAGACCAAGCTTTCTTTACAGTGAGGTTAAATGCGGATAAAGGTTGTTAATTGTGGGCAAAATGCGTCATTTAACCACATTTAACCTCTGCTAAAGCCATTTACCACCCATATCCAGTCGTTCGCTTCGCGCCTTGCAGCGCCAAAATTTGAACATGAATATGCAGTTATGCAAATAAATGTCTGAACAGTCTGACATTCTAGATAAATTCGATTTAAATAAATTTGTGAAAACAATTTCACTTTCCTCTGACTTATGTCTTAGCTTTGCAAAAAAAGATTCCGTGAACACCCATGATATAGCGCTTACGATTGACATCTCGAATGAGCATTTACGAAGTTGGTACGATTTAACACAAAATGGATCATTGAGCAAGTATTCGTTTGTAGAAATCCTAAATGCGTTTATATCAAAGCATGGAGTTCAACTGCACGAAAGCGAAAGGATTAATAACATACTTAGAAAAAGATGTGGGGATGCAAAAAATAAATGTCGATCGCTTAATGGACGTTTAAGGACTGAGTATCTTGCTAAAGTTAAGCATATTACTGTTTTCAAACATGAAGTAATTAATGCAGCTGAGACTCAACAGCTACTAACAGAAAACAACGAATATGTCAAATCATTATCAGAAGAAAATCGAAAACTAAAAGAAAGATGTGAAGAGCTGTGGGCAGCAATTGAAGATTTAAAATTTAGCAAGACAGCAACTGAACAAAAACTGGACAGTAAACAGGAAGACTATGAGTTAGTTTTCGAGCAAAATAAGGAACTGTCGGGTTATCTTGATAAAGCTAGATTTTCTGTTGAGTTTAAAAATTCAGGGAAAGAAATCTTAGAGGTTGGGAGAAGGCAACAAAATCGGAAACTGTTGGAGCTTAAAACATCAGTAGAGAAAAGCTTGTGGTTTGCAGAAACATTCGGACTATCATTAAAATCAGTGTCATTCACTGACAAATCTGGGTCAGACCATTCCTTGACATACTGCAACGTGCCACAAAGAAAGAGCTATAAGGACTTCTCGGAAGAAGAAAAGACCACGGTTAAAGAAATCTTATTAATTGTTGACAGGTTCTGCATAGGGGAAGGTGCTTACCACGAATTAAC